ACTTAAATACATGCGATTATGAGAGGATGCGCAACAGATGGAAGAACAGCTGAAACTACTTACACACTACCAGCACATGAGATGTATACAGGACAAGAGACTGTCAAAATAAAAGAGGAAGTAACAACACTGAGAAACAGACTAAGATGCATGAACTTGACATTAGGATTGGGAGTAACCTGACAAGGGGACACAACAGACCAGGGTAACATAAAACACAGGGACAAGAGATAAACAAACATGGTAAGAGGTACCTAAAGGCTAGACGACAAAACAAAGACCACAAAATACAAATATTACACAAAGCAGAAACAAAACTAAAAGAGCCAAAGCCAGGAACGTAAACTGAACTGTAGAATGTTAAATAAGATAGAATTAAAATGTCCAAATACATAAACACAGGATCATGGCAAAAAGTTTATGGAGTCAAAGGGATTAGACATTTTTTTCAAATTATTTTACCACATGATGAAAAATGCTCTGCTGATTTAAAAAAAGTAGTAAATGTGTGAAACAGTAACTTTGTTCATACAGAAATGGAAATGCATGCAATATAAAAAATGTTTTCATACAATACCATGTGTTTCAGCACTGCTGAGATTATCAAATAGGTATAATTTACTCCACCCATTAATACTGTTAAGTTACACCACTGGCACACAAGAGTGATGGTGATGGGAAATAGGTCTATGTTGATGTACACCTACATACATATTCCATTAAAAAGCATTCCTGATTCATTATTCCATAAATCATAATCTATCATTTAAAAGATTTCAGGACTATTAGGTGTTAAATGTCTCAAAATGTTTGAGCTGTAGTTGTTCATATGAAATGTTAGGGCAAAGGAAAGATTAGAGTGAAGTCTTGTTACTAATTCAGGTCAGAACAAAAAGTCAAATCTTGTTCACATGTGTTTTCCTACTTTCTAGATCAAGACCCATAGTAATGGTTGAAGCTGAGGTGTCATTTAGCCCAATCCAAATCCCTACTCAGAATGTAGACTGCTCAAAACCACTGCAGAACACAGCTGAAATTTGCTTTACCATGAGCAGATTGTCTACAGTCAACACAGGTTCATCATTCTTGGTTTTTCTGAACTACAAAGCCACTGCCCAGCAATTTAATGTTTTCTAAATGTATGTAAATTGCAGCATTGAAATCAAACACTGATTTATTCCAGCTCAAGCAAGGATTAATTACACTTTAACACTGGATGCCACTCGCAAACCTCCAAGCAACCGGGCATATGTTGGTGGGAAACGAGAGCAGTCAGGATCACTTACTGTGGACTTAATAAGAAAAAAATGCTCAACTGTGAAGTTCCTTGTTGAGGTAAAACCAAATAACAACATCAGAGAAAGTTCACCTTGGTGTAACAATATATTTTGATTTCCATTTTGTTTTTAAGAGTCATCCAACACTGAATCTAAACTCAGCACTCATCTCTTCTTGCAGGCCTGTCCAGAAGATGCTCTCAATTCACTTTCCAATGAGCTCAAATTCAAGTTTGATGGTTTGCCCTCAAACACAAATCTCAGACCAAGCCTTGCCCAGCAGGCTCAAACAGCAACCATTCATCCTGTAAGTAACCTTTATAGGTACTTTATTAATCAGATATCTGAGGGCAGTCTTGAGCTGAGGCCATACATTCTGGAGAGATTTCTAGTTGAAATTAGTACTAGAATATTATTAGGAACTCTATTCCCAGTACCAACAGCAGGCACAGCTACATATTTGGGGTCATTACTCTAAAAACGTTGTGTATTAGAAATTAATTGTTAGTAATCCAATATGCTACAAAATTACTAAAGGAGTTTATTACACTGATCATTACATTATTTTCTTGTTACTCCATGAAATGACCCAAAATGCATTGTCTCATAATTATAAGTTAATAATATAAATCTTAGGCTACAGTCTGACATGCCAATGCAATCCCTATCCCAATGAGAAAACACATATGATCTTTCCTTTAGTGTTTACATATAAACACAAGAGATTTTGAAATGGTTGTAACAGTGATTCTCCTTCAGAAACATTAATGAATAGAAATGGAGGCTTCAAGCTCGACTGCTAATCACTGCCTTTCTTACCTGACTGGGCTCTGGCAGCTGGGCTGGGGTCTGCATATGCTCAGCTTTAACGTTCCTCTGTTGGCTAGTTTTTTTGCTAGCATGCTGTCTGCAAAGATGCTTCCAATTATCCAATTAGTGTTAGCTGTGCAAACAGCTGCTGTTTCTGTCCTGGATGCAGTTTGCGTTTTACCATTGCAGTCTTCTCCTCTTGTGCAATAAAAAATAAAAGTAATGTCCATATTTCTACTGTAGATCACTCAACTATTTCCCTCCTCCTGCACACAACCTAATTTTAGCCCAAGTGCACACAAGAAAACACTATTTTATTAGATATTTTTTCCATTTTTATCCAACCAACCAGCAGATAACTAAAGGAAACTTTGCAACACTAGTAACAATATAATTGTAATTGAAGTTTAATTACTGAATTCAGTACCGTAACACATTACATTACTGCATTACTGAAAAATATAAGGCTACTTTTTACTTTATCTTACACCCGGCACTGGGTAGAACACACAAATTGCTTGCTAGATGCATCTGTAAAACGTTTACATTTATTCTGTGAATAATGTGTAATATAAATGTTTTTGACATCACACTCTCTTCCACAGTTAGGGTTTGAGATCAACTGTGGAACTGACAACAAATGTGTTGATAACCTGAAAGTGGATTTCAACTTCACCAGGTGAGGCAGAATTACAAAACTTTGTTTAGCTTTGCTTGCGTTTTTAGTCACTTGCTAGGTTTCATAACATGTAACATGTATTTCATAAGTTGTACACTCGAAAGACACGTAAAACTTCAATTTTGAAGCACATAGATATTTTGGGACAGTTTGGTATTTAGTCTCCATCATTTTATCCTAATAAAAGAGACAAACAATGACAACACACACACACACACACACTGGTGGTAGTATGTGATTGAGAGATCACCACCACATATTAAAATTAAAGAAACAAACCCAACAATGGTAGAGAATATTTATTTCAAAATTATACCAATCCCCAAGAAGGCATTGAGGTTCTCTAAACCTTAGACAGGGTCATGAATACTGGACCCAGAAGCAGACTCAGCACAAATTTAGCACTGAACTATATACATTTTATTTCTTTTGTGAGAAAACAATAGCAAACTCTGAAAGTGAAAGTTAAACTCTGGCCTAAGGAAACAGGAGCAAAAATGGAGGTGAGTGTGGAGAAAATGCATTATTGAGACCGTGGGAAAACTGAAACAGAAGAGGAAACAATTACTTAACTGTGGGGAAGCAGAGGAGAGAGAGCAAAGCAGGATAATGATGCTGCGTGTTTACTGTCCGAGCCAGACCGCGGAGCTTGAAGGGTAAACGTTTGTGAGAGAATCTTAGAGGGATGAAGTTACAAAGACTGTTATCCAGTGTGCAGGGCAGGCAGGTAGGACCACTGAGAGTGGCTGAACGGAGCAGCAGACCATGCTGCCTGAAGCAGTCCTCTTATGACTGCCTGTTGATGAAATTCAGGTGCGACGCTGGTGGCCCTGCCAGAGGGCGTAACCGAAGAGCCATCCAGAAACATCCAGCACAATGCTCCCACAAACCATGACAGACAGAAACATAGCTCAAATCATTGAGATGTTGGTTTATTGACAGTAATTAAGAAACATGAAATCAGTGAAAGGCAACGAGCAAGGCTGGGTATACTTGTATGACCGTGGTTTTGTTTTCCCAGCTAGATTAGAGGGTTGCTTTCCTACACCATTGGGTTTGAAAACATGTCTTGATTGTCAGTGTACCCAGCTTCCATGAAGTCCCTGTATGAGGTAGTTGAAGATGCCTCTCCTGGGGACTAACCAACTAATGCTGAAGGGTATGCTCCAACTATGCTGGATGCTGTACTGGTCTGTTGTAGCAAAAAAACCTATTTCCCACCCATCACCAGGAAACAGTTGAGGTGGGTCAGCATCTGACTAGGACACCTAGAGACATCCATTCTGATTACTAGATTACTCAAGATCTCTTATTGGCCTGGGAATGCTTTGATTTCCCACTGGATGAGCTAAAGGAGCTGGCTGAGAGAAAGAACCCAGGGCATTTCTAGACAACCTGGATAAGTGTCCGAAAATCAATGGATGGTAACAGCTTTTTTCATAATGCATCATCAGTTATTTTTTGTGTTTTATGATCACCAGGAAATGACAGCAAATTAAAATGATATAGCGAGCTTCCACACAGCCACTATTAATATGTTAGAATTCAACACAAAGCTATACTATATTTAGCCTCCTACAACTTCAGCATCACAGTGCAGTCTTGTTTTCTTCTTCCTTTATTCTTGTTAGATCCTCAGAGGTTAAAGTGGGCATCGATGAGCTTTTGAATGTCACAGTCACAGTGGAGAACAGAGGAGAAAACTCCTACAACAGTCGTGTTATTCTCACGTACCCAGCTGGACTGTCCTACAGGAAATTCACCATTCAGCAGGTAATGTGTCAGGATCAAGTTCATCATTGATTTGCTGCTCACCCAGTGCATCCAGCAGTCATTTTATTTTCTAATAAAGGGAAGAATTGAGTGCAACTCTTTGGACAGTGAAGATGGTTTATCCCGAGGAAGGACAGACTGTACTATTGACAAGCCAATTTTCAAGAGCAAAACTAAGGTTCGTTATTGTGGTATGATTTTGTCTGTTAACTTCTACACAGTTTAACAAAATGAGCAATCACTCTGATCTCTCTTCTTCAATTCAATCAAGGCTTTCTTCATTGTCTCATATGGTATCGAAACAAACACTCAACTAGAGAGGAAGATCTTTATCACTGCTAATGCCACCAGGTACTGTTCATTTAGCACAGGTGCTTCTCATTTAAGCAATAACCCCACAGACACAGTACAAATCATTTCACTTCTGTCTTTCAGTGGAAATCAGGAGAACGCTACAACGAGTGAAATCTACAAAAATAAATGGATTGATGTGAAATACAGCATTTTCATGACATTTGAAAAGTATGTGTTGTTCTGTTCGTTATAAGATGAATTACACATTTTGTTTTACACAGTATGTATTTAATGTTTAACATGTATCTGTTTAGCTCCTTCAGTTACAGCAATTTCACTTTTGGGATGGATAATTTGCAGATACCAGTCCAACAATTAATCAAGGTAAAATGTAATAAAATATAATAAATATGACTGTGTGAATTAGACTTAACCATAATAGTGTTTGACTGCTTTTTCTTTACTCCCCATGTTTTAGGTTACAAATGATATCAGAGCGTTTAATTTCACTGTGGTGATCAAGGTTCCAGTGAAGCTTGGTGAAAAAGAGATTTGGGTATTGAGCAGCCTACAGGTAATATATGTGTCAGAAGATCTAAAAATGGGTCAGATTTAGCTGTGTGATGGGTGAATGAGGTAAAATAGGACCAATCACCCTGACATTATATTAAATGTATTTCAGATTGTAGACTGTCAGACAGAAAATGATGAAGAACCAAGTGTCAAAGATTTTGTTCCACAGATACAAAAGGATAAAGTGGTGGTAAGTATCCGTCTGTACTTTTGCTACCTACCTGTTAAAACTGAACCATGGTACTGATTCAAAACACAACATTGTACTGAATACAAGATTTGTTTCATTCAGTCTTCTTTAAATCACCCACAGGACTGCTCTGTAGCCATGTGCAGAGTGTTCAAGTGCAACACCTTCATGGGAAGACTGCAGAGTAGGACATACGAAATCTCTGGCAATCTCAGTTCAGGATGGATAGAGCAGGTAATTAAAGAATATTTTTTTAAAATTGTTTCATTAATACTTTTCCTGAGTATGTATGAGTACTTTGGTTAAATCTTCAGATATAACCATTTTACAGTTAAATCAAATAATACCTAATTTAGGCTTAACTCATTTCATTTTTTCTAAGATTGGACTTCAGTCTGCCAAATTCCTCTTGACCAGTACAGCCACTGTGGATTATGACCAAAGCCAATACATCTACTTTTCAACAGTGTCTAACAACAATCCTCCTGTTCGCAAGGTGATTTAGCATTACTTTCTCTCGTTTGAGTTACACAAGAGCTTGAATATCATTCACATTCTGTTACCTTATCTCTCAGATTATAGTCGAGGTAGAAGTGTATCCTCAGACAAATTTCACCAAAGAGATTATAGGAGGATCCCTGGGAGGGTTGGCTTTTCTGGCTTTACTCACTGCTGGCCTGTATAAGGTGAAAGACTCTTCTTACACTTTTTCAACTCATCACACAGCTGTGAAAGGTTTTTAGAGAGTATGTCTAATTTTTTAAACAAAGTTCAAGAGTTTATATTTACTCATGTAGTTATTTGCTTTAATTTTGAATGTAAGTCTAATGAATAATCTCTGTACTTTCATTTTTTCCCCTTGCACTCCTAGGCTGGGTTTTTCAAGAGGAAATATCCATAGATGATGAATGAAAATGCAGAGACCGATCTGGAACCGGGGACTGATGGAAATGAATCCCAAACAGAATAACAAAGCTCATATTTGTTGTTGTACATTTACTGTAAAGTTAAAACAAACATTAAACAAGTAAGGAAATTTGTGTTTGGTTGATTATCCCTTTGTTGTAACAGTTCTTCTTGGTAAAACAATCTTATAGTGGGGGAAAGCATTTTTATAGCTGGAACGGTCTGCTGGTGTCTGCTCCAAGCAGGCCACATTTGAGTGATCTGGATAGAGCTTTGGTGCTTTAGTGCAACCTCAAAGTTTTCCACATAACTAAACTACAGCAATATTTTGAGTGAGCCCCAGTACCATCTTCAAATTGAAGGCCAAGTTCCATACACTCTAAAAAGTAATTCAGAGGCTTAGTAAATATCACTATAAATATAAGTTAGATGAGCCTGATAAAATCTATGAATATCAAAAAAATAACACTATGGCTTGTGTCACTCAAGAATGCGAGTTTGATTGACCTCGACCTTTTGACCTTACCGGAAGTACTCCGGAAGTGTCTAATCGATTCCAGATGTGTGACTAATCGCATCCAGCGGGGAAAAAAAATTGATGTTTTGTCCAGAGAGGGAGGTGTCGGTGGAGGGAGGATGGTTGAGGGATAATTCTGATCAGAGGAGGGTCATTCCAGGGGCATGGAAAGTTCAGGGGGGGTAACACAGCAGATTTCTGATGAGTCAGTGGAGATCATGTTCTATAGGGAGACAGAATGATCGCAGCAGTTAGTTTTTCACAGAAAAGAGTTGAACTCATAGTTTGAATTCTATTTAAATGTTTCACTAATAGCATCAATATTATGACAAAGATCTTGATAACCATTTTCTTGGTAAAGACTGAGAGCTATTTCTTTTTACAATAGCGGCTTTAGATGTATTTTTACTTTCTTATTACAGACGCAATAAAATAAAAACCTTTACGATTATCTGACTAGTAATGGATTGCATTTATATAGCGCCTGGTGGAGGCAAGCTACACCAGTGCTGGTAATGAAAAGAAGGACTTTCTATTGCTTGTAACCTAGCAAAGAATTTCATAAAGGCCGCAACTCCTTGTACGTGTAAAAAAAAACCTTCGTGGAAAAAAAGCACTGCGCACATATTCAGAACTCGGTCCTACTTAAACAATTAAAACACCCTGATGAGGTATTTTGGTTTTGTGCAGCCACTCCTCAGACCAAAGTAAAGAGTTTATTTTCTTTTGAGCTACTTTTACAACAGGTTTTCTCGTAGCAGAAAAAGCTCAATAGACAGAAAAACACAGAAACCCTAAAAGAAAACGGCCTTTTTTGCACACATCAAGGAGTCAACAACCCCTCTAATTAATATTACTATTTCTTAATGCTTGTAACCTAGCAAAGAATTTCATACAGGCCTCATCTCCTTGTACATGTAAAATAACCCTTAGTGAAAAAAAAGCACCGTGCACATATTCAGAACTCAAATAACTTTATTAAAGCAATTCCCCCCCACCCCCGTGGGAAAGAGTTTTCTTTTTTTAGAGTTGCTTTTACAACAGGGAAGCGGGTTTTCTCATTAGCAAGAAGGAGTCAGACGCCCGTTGCCCATAAAGCAAACAAATAACCACTCTCTAAGCGATATTATTACAGTCGGAGATGCGAAAAACGGACAACCGCATTTATTCTTTTCAGAATAAATGGCTGAGAAAAAAACCCATCAAAGTTGATGTAAGTGATTACCACACCTAAACAGTATAATTTTTTTGTTTTTCTGATATTAGTTTGTGAGGGTCAAATTTCTCTTTGGGTAAAAATTAAGCCAACATCCAATTGTCAAAGGCCTCTAAAAGGTCGGTTCTAAAAAACAAGTCAGTCCCTGAAGCTTATTTGTGCCACAGATGCTAATTCGGTGAGTAAGGAATGTTTTGGGACCGGACCCCTGTCTGATCTTAAAAAACTAACTTCGTCGTTACATTACAGCAATATTGAGGAAACATTTAAGGGTTGATCATGGAGCAGGATAAAGGTCAAAGGGAAAGTCCCTGCCACGCTTCCGGTCATGCTTCCATCCGGCGTAGTCATCCGACCGGTCCATGCTATATAGCCTCTCCCGACCTGGAGTGGTATAACGTCTTGTAGAAAAGTTTGATCGATTGTTACGGCCCTAGCTGGGCCTCCTGAACCTGCCCTTGTGTGGGCGTGGTGTTTTTCTCCGCCGCCTCCTCTCTTGCTCCACCCTCTGTCTCTCTCTTGCTCTCTCTCTCCCCAGGACACAGCTGCTGCTCATTGGTTATATAAGCTGGGGATGGGCTGGATGTGGGAGAGTGGCGTTCTCGGGTGTCTCCGCTTTGAGTGTTAGGTGTGTGAATGTCCTACCTATGGTCTCTCTCTCTCTCTCTCTCTCGTTTCAGTGTGAATAAAAACCTGAAACGTTGACCATTTGTTCTAATATTGAAACCGGTTTCTGGTACTTCCTCCTTTTTTCTGTGCAGCTTGAGGCAAGTTGCAGTTGCCACAGAGTCTCTTTGTTTCACTGTGACTGCAGGAATTAAATATAGTCTCTGGTTTCTGCAGCCAAAATCCAGTTTTTCGTTCCAGATATCCTCAAAAGGCTCTCAGTCCCTGGAGAAAGTTGATGTGGCAAAAAACAAAAAAGCTCTAAAAATGACATCATTGTAATTAACTGGTGTGTTTTTTAACAAAACATATTAGTGCATTTCAGAAAATTAGAATGAAGTGAAAGTTTTGTTTGTTTTTTTACATATTCATCCAAAAATTAAAGTATTAAAAGCCTTTTGTGTGAGTATGCCTTGTAGTGCATGGAAATGAGCAGCCCTTGTAATAAAACTACAATATTTTAGTATATTAGTGTTTGAACAGTGGCATTGAGTGCGTCTCTCTATATAGTTGAGTACATGTAACCACAGTTATAGAGACGACTGGACTGTTCTCCAGATGATCTCTGATACACTCCACAAGGAGGGGAAGCCACAGGATGTTGTTGCTGAAAGTCTGGCTGTTCGCAGAGTGCTCGATCACAGCATATTAATGGCATTTTGCACAAACAACAGTGATGGCTGCAGCCTCAATGGTATTGTCAAGAAAATCAATTCAAGAACTTGGGCGACTTTACAAAGAGTGGACTGAGGCTGGTGTCAGTACGTCGCCAGGAAAGCAGCTACAACTTTAGCATTCCTAATATCGAGTCACTCCTGAACCGGAGACGACATCAAAAAGGACTGGACAGCTGCTCAGTGCTTCTCTTTCCACATAAAAGTAAAATTTAAGGTCCTAAAGACTAGAGGAAGAGTAGAGAGGCACAAAATCCAAGATGCTTGAAGTCCAGTGTGAAGTTTCTGCAGTGCCATGTCATCTCCTCATGTTGGTGTCAGTTGATCCACTGTGTTATCAAGTCTACAGTCAACAAAGTCACCCACCTGGAGACTTGGAGCACTTTGTGCTTTAATTTGCTGACAAACTTTATGGAGAGAGATGGTGATTTTCTTTTCCAGCAGGATTTAGCCCCTGCTCGCAGTACAAAAACTACTAGCAAATGGTTTGCTGGCCGCAGTATTGCTGTGCCTCATTGACCAGCCAGCTCATCTGACCTGAACCCCAGAGTGTCTGTGTTGTTATTGTCAAAATGAAGATGAGAAACACAGGACCCAAAAATACAGACAGGATGAAAGCAGCTATCAGAGCAGCCTGGGCTTCCTGTACACCATGCTGCATTAATGCAGTGATTCATGGTAACGGAGCTCCAACCACGTATAAAAATATTCTGTATGTCTGATTTTCACAAGGTATAAGTCACGATCATCAAAATTAAAACAAAAAAGGCTTAAAATGTTTCCCTTTGAAGTTCTCTGGGGTTTTGCTTATATGCTTATGGTACCCGACGGAGGAAGTTCAAGCATCCTGAGCTCTCGGAGGTAATTGACCGGGATGAACCGATCTTATTGACCCGCGGTGTGGGTAAAACAAGGCCATTTTCTGTCTATTGAGCATTGTCTGCTAATGAGAACCTGTTGTAAAATTACTTCTAAAAGTAAGGGTGGCTGTGGCCTCAATGTAGCTTGCCATCGCCAGTGTGTGAATGGGTGGATGACTGGTTGTGTAAAGCGCTTTGGGGTCCTTAGGGACTAGTAAAGCGCTATACAAATACAGGCCATTTACCATTTAAAAAAAAAAACATGAAGAAAAACTCTACCTCACAAAACCAAAATAGGTTTAATTGTTTAAGTAGGACCGAGTTCTGAATATGGGCACGGGGCTTTTTTTCACTAAGAGTTATTTATTACACATACAAGGAGATGAGTGGGCGGCCTGTAGGTTACAAGCAATAGAAAGTCCTTTTCATTACCAGCACTGGTGTAGCTTGCCTCCACCAGGCGCTATAGAAATGCAATCCGTTACTAGTCAGATAATCAGATAAAAGGTTTTTATTTTATTGTGCCTGTAATAAGGTTAACAGAAGAAAGCAAAATAAATCCGCTATTGAAAAAAGAAATAGCTCTTTACCGAGAAAATGGTCATCAAGATCGTTGTCATATTATTGATACTGAAACATTTAAACAGAATTCAAACCATGAATTCAACTCTTGTCTGCGATCATTCTGTCTCTCTATACGGCAGTGACTCATCAGAAAACTTCCCTCGTTAGCGAGTGAAAAACCGGTTGAAGATGTTCTGTTATGTCTTGAGCTCTTCATGAGGAATATGTCTCTAAACTAGCGGGGCTTGTGGAAACACAAACCCAACAACTAGTCTCCCTTGTATCCTAATATTGCAATATAAAGGCTCGAATGCCTTTATAGGCATTCTGTACCAAGCCAGTTCCTACTTTTGACTAAATAGAAAACAATCTAGGTGCTACAAATTTGCCACCTTTATCTTCCAATAGTAATAGAAACAAAACAACATGAACACCAAGCACACACTCAGTAACCAACATCAACAAGGTATTTTTCATTATTTCATATCAGACCATTCCCTGTAAACCCTGGAAATGATTATGTGGGAACATCCCAGTATCATCATTGTCTGAAATACTCATACCAGCCCGTCTGACATCACCAACCATGCCACATTCAGTCGTCTTTCTTCCTTGTTGTGATGCACGGTTTGAACTTCTGCTGGCTGTCTTGACCATGTCTACATGCCTAA